AGAAGTCCCTGGGGTTGCTTGTTCAGTTGGAGCCACACTATAAATAACAAATGATAATACAATTGCATTGAAAATACCTGTGGAAGAGTTTATGCTTTGAACTGGGTGTCTCTTATTTTGCAGGCTATCACTACATCTGTTTGAGGAATGAGAGGAATCAGCCTTTGACACTGCCAGCTCTCTTTGTGTACATAGAGGTCAAAGACTATGTACCTGATACTTATGCAGGTAATCCTGTGACATTTTCCAACTGGGAAATATAAAGGTTAATTGTAATGCAAAATTAATGTGGTGTAGATGTATTGGGATAACAGTTCTATGAACAAACTTCTGCATCTGGTGGATCGTTATGTCTCGTCACTCATAAAAGGTGTTGTAATTAACAGCAGCCCGCCTGAGGTTCAGGATTAGGGCAACTCTTTTATTTTCACCAGCCGTTGTATGACTCTAAAGGAGGAAATACTCTAGGCATTTGCCATTGAAGCACAAAGGAAATTTTGCTTATGGCACACAATAGTATGTAATTGTTTCCTAAGTGGAGGAAAATGCCATGCTTAATGCAGAGCAGTGTATTTTGGCATCAGCTCCAGACTAGAATCAGTTTTTAAGACCATACTGTGCATGTCCAGTGAAAAACAGTATTCTGTATAGCTATTTTGATTTTTTTTTTAAAAAGGATTTTCTCTAATGCTTCGCTGTGCCTCATGTGAAGCAGGATCGTAGCTGGCTGGTGCAGTAAGCTTTGAAAATCCATCATAAAACACTGCAGAAAATGCACGTCCATGAGATCCAAGCACAAACTCAAAGACGATTCCTCTTAAGAGTATTTGGGCATAATGGTATACTCCCCTCCACTGTTGTTTTTCAAATTGCAGGAGTACATATCAGGAACAGATCTGTATGAAAAATTAAGTCTCTTTCTTAAAACCTGAGGAGCACTGGAACATAAGGGTTTTGAAACTGAAGTATTTGTGTTATTTCTAGATGTGATTGAGGCCTTATCCAATCCAATCAGATATGTAAACTTGATGGAGCAGAGAGCCAAGCAACTGGCTGCATTGACTCTGGAAGATGAGGAGGAGGTAAAGAAAGAGGTAAGAGAGGTTTGAGAGTCTCTGCAAGCTGTGTTATAGCATTTAAAAGTACCTACTTTGCTTGGGAAGAAAAACATTGAGGTCCCTGCGAAACAGCTCACCTAGATAAAACTGTGGTATGTTACAGCTGAGAAACATTGTGCCTGCATCTGTGATTTCACTGAAGGCAACATGTTGTGCATGTGGCAAGTTACTGTTCCAAGGTAAAGAGACATGAAAAGCTGAATAAAAACTATGAGGTGTATATGCTGATTTGCATCTTTGTTATGTAGCAAATTAAATCTTGCCTGTTGTTTTCCAGTGTGATGCTGAAATACTCTTACTAAAAAAAATTTTAAAAAATCAAAAAAAGGACAACTCTGTGCCAGTAGGTTTTCCTGAAAATACTACAAATTTTCCAGAATTTCAAGATGTGTTTCTGGAGAGCTTATTCTATTCAGAAACACTGGTGTATCTCAGGCTATGATGTCTCTATACATTGTCTGTGAGCAAACGTGTGCTAAAGAGATCCAGTGTATTCATACAATAATGTAGATGGAAAGGGGCCTCTGGAGGTCAACTGATCCAGCCCTTCATAGATCTTAGAGAGATGAAGAGGGAAGAGACCACAGAGTACATAAATGTTCAAGCCTATTCTAGCTTAGTGCAAAGCTGTGGGAGCCACATTTTCAGTTGTTAGGTATCTTTTTGGATATATGTGATTACCTAAGGACTAACCTCTAAAACCTGTTTTTCTGTGTAATTGGAGGTGTTGTGCATACAAATGCAGATACTGTTTTTAGCCTACCTGAGAGGACTGGCAGTTTAGCTTTTATTTCAGTTAAACTCTATGTACATTCAAGTGCTCAGTCTTTCTGTTCCAGACATTGTCACTGGGATGTCTTCCAGCAGTGTTTAAAAGTATCAACCTTGTATTTTAAAGATAGCTTGTGTCAGATGTTAGATACGTCAAGTGAATCAAAAGGGACTCAGTACAGGTCTCTAGTGAAGATGGAGAAATGGTTTATAATCCTAAACTGCCCTCAGCTCTGGTGCCCGTCTTCTTCAATTCTCAGATGTGCAAAGCCTCACTGAACTAGATTTTGTAACCAAGAATACATTCCCAAAGCAGACCAGATGAGTGAAAGTCATTACAATTTAGTGGCCAACAATTTACTCTTTGTGCCGTGTCACAAGTTCGGCTGAATGAGGACACTGTGGAATGCTCAATGGTATCTTAGACATTTATCTAGGACGCTCTACACATGAGAATCTATTTTAATAGCAAAGTCTTTTTTTAACAAAATCCTTTAAATACCTTAGAGATCATTTTTACTTTTGAAAAAGTACAGATTCTCCTGGTCTGTACAGACTTATTTGTCAGTTAGAAAAATTCTGTCACATAGTATCTTCCAAAGGAAATGGGAAGAAGAAAAGATGAATAGTGGTGCTCAGGTAGTACTGCTGTATGTCAAGGAGTGAGAAAGTTCATAGGATAAAGGAACTAGTTTTGTATAGCAGAGAAATATTTTTTAAAGAAAACTGTAATGATTGTACTGGTGTGTTTGCTAAAAATATATACACAAAATAACAGAATCATTGTGGTTGGAAAGGACCTCTGAGATCACCAAGTCCAACCATCAACACACAAAAACCAAACACACAAAAAAGCAGACAAACACAAACAACCATATACATTCCACAAAAAAACACCCACAAAAAATGCCACAACCTTGGCCACTAGAGCAGGGCCACTAGGGCAGGGCCTGAAGTGCCACATCTACACGTTTCTTGAATGCCTCCAAGGATGGTGACTCCACCACGTCCCTGGGCAGGCTGTTCCAGTGCCTGATCATTCTTTCATTCCATACAGAAATTCTTCCTCATATGCAATCTGAACCTCCCCTGCTGCAACTTCAGGCCATTTCCTCTGGTCCTGTCATTATTTACTTGGGAGAGGAGGCCAACACCCACCTCCCTACAACCTCCTTTCACGTAGTTGTAGAGGGTGATGAGGTCTCCCCTCAGCCTCCTCCTCTCCAGGCTAAACATCCCTAGTTCCCTCAGCCTCTCCTCATATGACGTGCTCTCTAGACCCTTCACCAGCTTGGCAGCTCCTCTGGACACACTTCAGCCCCTCAATGTCCTTCTTGTAGTGAAGGGCCCAGAGCTGCACACAGCACTTGAGGTGTGGCCTCACCAGTGCCAAGTACAAGGGCACAATTACTTCTCTACATTCCGTTAGATGCAATAGCAAGGGACAGGTACAAAACTGCTGCTTGAAGTAGCAACTGAAATACATAATTGTTACCTTCTATTTATAAACAACCATTCTAGGTAAGATATTTGGCAGCTGGGTTATACCTGAAAATTGTGAATTCCTGGTCCTATAATGTGATGATAAAATTTTCTTCATCAGTTGGCAGGGTTGACTGTTTTGTTTCCTTACATTGGTCTACAAAAATCATGTATGTTCACTGGCAACATAGGTTAATAACTCCAAGTATGGTTGCCAGAAATGTACACAGAAGTGCACCTGGATTCAATTTTCTTCTGTAAAGTTTCAAATTTAAACTCTATAAATGTCTATGTGTAATGCTGTTCTGTTTTTTAGCACAGATTCTACTTCCCCACACCCCTTTCCCCCCCTCCCCCTACAAATTTATTTATCTGAGCTTCATTCTTCCAGCTGTTATTGAAAAACACAGCATTTTCCTTCCTAGAAGTTTAAACTGCATCTCTGTGAGAAGTTCCCCAGGCTTCTTGCAAAATAGTAGTCAAATAAGCTACCTAATAGTGAATTGTCATGAACAAATATATTAGCTTTTCTTTAGGCTTCCAACTATACTGCCCATTAATTATCAGTGCAATAACATAAACAAAGATCGCTGAAGAACTGACAAAATTTACACTATCTTTTCTGTATTTATTTGCAATGTTCCCATCATGAGTGTCATGTGAATTCCTACCTTTAGCTCTGGTCAGTTCTTGCTTTCCAGCCTGGCCTTAGGACAGCTATTTTTGCAGCATAGAAATGCTGTCATAATTGCAGTGTGGGCTTTGCACCTTCAACCATACTTAACTGAGTGCATAGTAAGTCTATAAGCACACAGGTAGTGGAGGTTGCCTTCTCTTCCCCTACCTGGTATCCTCTACAGACAGGACGAATAAGCCATAGAAATTTGCAGCTGGGAGTTCATTGGGATGAATTAATCCCAGCCTCAAGTAGATTGAATAGATGCAAATAGTTTGTATGTTTTCATCCCCAGGAGCAGAAGTGTGCAGGGGTCTAGGAAATGCAACCCAGAGAAAAATGCATTTTGGCTGTGCCTTGGTGTAGTGTCCCTGGGGCTGAATGTTAATTCCAGGCAGGGAGTTGAGAGCCCATGCTGGCGCGTTAATGTGTCTGACATGGAAGCAGCAGAGCGTGTGACCTGTTGTTTCTACCCATTAAAAAAATAGTGTTAAAATGGAAACTATTGTTTTGCACACCTGGATATAAACCAAATCCGTGTGATCAATCCAGTTGGCTTCTTTGGTTAAATAAAATTATTTTGATAGGGAAAGTAAAAAAAAACACATCTCTAGGAGAGCAGCTGCACTTGACATTATCTGATACCACTATTTTAAAATGTAAATTCAGGCATAGCTTTGCAAATTAGAATGATCACACCAAGTTAGAGTAATTGAAATACAAGTTCTTCTGACACTTCTTATAGGGAGACCTTGCTTATAGTTTGCCAATGAGAACAGGGACAGACAGACTTAAGAACCGAGCACCTTGTCTCAGTGCAGCTCAGAGATCTTCCAACCCCAATACATTTCAGGTCCTTTTCTCTGTCGAAATAATAATAGACCATATAGATACGTACCTTATGTACCTGTCAGCCTATGTAACTGTCTACTTAGTAAACAGTGTCTTGCAAAAGACATAACAACATGTAGAATATAAACCATTTTCTATGACTGTTAAAACTATAAATTATAAGGCTGGATTACATCATGTTTTTTAAAAGTGCAAAATATTCTCCACTGAGGGAAAATCATGTTTACTTTAGCATGCTGTGTGATGAATTGTGAAAAGAGAAAGTGATTTTTAATGAGATTAGATTGCTTGATGCAGTGAAAATTACTTTTTATTCACTTCCTGTTCTTGTCTCACATTTCTGCTTCAGTTTCTGAAAACAACTGGTTTATGTCCAAAACTGACAGGCTATATTAATAGCTTCTCAACTAGCTGCGATGCAGCATTTCGGACCACATACAAACCTAGTCCTAAAAAAATAAGATAATGTCTACTTTCCCATGCAGTGACTTTTGGGCCACAAACAAGCTAGAAGTAGGAATTCTAGCTTTATTTCTATTAAATTTTGGTGATCTATCTAGCAAACATTGTTTTTATTGAGCTGATAAATTGCATCTCATGAGTGGGATATTTTCAGGAGAATTGAAAGAATAACTATGTCTGTTTTTGTCACAGCTACAGCTTTTGCCAGTCACATTGTTCTACTGCCATAAATGTTGGCTAGATCATGTTTTTCATTATTTTATTGCAGTCATTCTTGCTTGATATAAATGAAGTTGCTGGCATTGGTTTTCAATTGCATCATGCTTCTGACTACAGTATCTCTCTCCTATAATTTTGGTACAAATAGGCTATTGAGACAGAAATCCTTTTGCAATATCCAGTACGTTGTCAGGGCCCAAATGAAGGAAATAAACAGCAAGAGCAGCACAGAGCAGTTTAGACCAAAATGTATTTTGCCTCTACTGATGCAGTGGAGGCTGATATTTTGCAAGTGTGGAGTAATCAAGGGGAAAAAAACAACAACTGTGGTATCCTGCCTCTGCATGCAATGTGATTATCATCAAAGAGTGAAATGGAAGCAGCTGAAGGAAAAAATCAAAAACTACCCTGAAATACCATGGCAACTGGCCCCTCGCGGGGAGAGCAGGAAGGGGGCTTGGCCATTTCAAAATAAAAATTGCCTTGAATCACCTTCTGTTTGCTGAGTGCTGGATGTTTGCATAAAACCTGATGGTGGCAAGGAAAATTATGAGATGTTCACTGCATACTACAACATATGCTGTCAGCCTGTGCCTTTAACAGACTGGAGAGAAAGAAAAAGATTGTGGAAAATGCTTAAATATTTGGATATCACAGATCTATTTATGCAGCAGGATGGAGGTACTGTTTACGTATTATCCTTGGAGTGTGATTACAAGAATGTAAGATCTTGGGAATCAGAAGTATGTCTCTGTTCTGTAGGAGCAGCGAAAAATAATAGTGCTGTGTGTATCTATGAAATTTGGAAGTAATTTTTGTGTGCGCTATTTGTTCACAGCAGTGATTTGAGTAGCATTTTCGTGCCCGCTTCTACATTATTTCTAGAAGGGGTTTATGGCAGAGAACAGTGTTTTTCAATAAAATACAGATTTCACATCTGGTGCAGCTAATATATACTGAATTGGAAAACGTCCCTGATGAGTTATGTCCACTTAAAATACAAATACTTTTTTTTCAGAATAATACGTGCTCTATTTCTTCTGGAAATTTATCCTGCACAAATAAACCACCTGGATTACCATAGCTCTTAAGGATACCTTTTTCCTGCTTTCTTCTAGAATAATTTATAGATAACATTCAATTTTACAATTGAAAAGAGGCTAACCTGGACCTGTAAATAAATAGTTTAAAGTCTGTTATCTGGGAAGAGTAGTGTAAATCATTATGTATTTTCAGATTGACCATGGAGATGCACCATCTGAAGCTAACAGTGAACCTAGGCCAACACCAGCAGAAAATGGACTAAATTGCACTGCCTCTCTTACACCGAAACCAGCAACTCAGGTTGTCCACAGCCAACCAGCACCAGGTAAAAAACAAAGCAAAACAAAAGATACCGTTTCTTCTCAAAATAAGTCTGGATAATTTTTCACATGGGTTGTGTTTAAAGACCACAAGGGTTTTTTTGCATGTGTGTGTTTTGGTTTTATAAAATAGGAATAAATTTTCCTGCTGCTTTAGTATGCTGGTAGGGCAGTTGTCTTTAAATATAGAAATATCTTCATTTTAAGAGTTGTTTTTGTGGTAGAACTGAGTTTATTACAAGCAAGGAATTTTGTGGAGTTGGGTTTTTTGGTTGTTGTCGGAAGTGCAGGAGTCTCTGTAAATTGTTTTTACAAATATGCCTAATTTATACATGAAGATACATATTGCATGCACAAAATAAAGTCTTAGATACTTAATGTATTCTGTATTAATATATCTCCTATAATGATCCACTTTTTAAATCACATTATTTGTGATTTTACAACTGCAGTCTTCATAGGCTTGGTCTAACTGACTTCCAAAGAGCTTGATTCATCTTGTGTACAGAAATTTTGCACTGTTGTCATAATATAGGGCAGTTATACTAACCATCAGCCTAATACCACTTGAATTACTCATAGGAGCAGTGTCAGTGAGTTCAGTAACATCCTCCTCATAAGCCAGGCAACAAAGCTCAGATGGGTTTTCAGAATATTACCTTTTCATGTTAGTTCATAGGACTGGTGGTCTTTTCCATGTTGCTACTTTTTGACTCAAGAGGTGTGTTTTCTCAAAGAATTAATAGATGCCTGTGTAAGCATATGTCTCATGTCACCTGCCATGTTTCAAATATGTAATTAAGCAGCATAATAATGGCTGTTGCTTTAAAAGAATTGGAATCAGTCAGCTTCTTTACCTCTAGGTTCGGTGAAAGCACCTGCAAAGACAGAAGATCTTATTCAGAGCGTCCTCACAGGTAATAAATATACAGTTTACACTGCATGAATAATAGATTGTTTCGTCAAGAGAAATGTATTTTTTTATTAAATAGGTCATCTGACTCAGACATTTTTTTGAGTGATTAGGACTGCAATAACTCATAGAAAATGTACGTATCACGTTTTCTCCCACAGCTTTGAAGTTACTAAATGCTTTGAGCAGGTTTTTCATGACAACAGGGTTTTTAAAAAAATATCCCATTTTGGTGGTTTCACAAGCACATGTTACCATCTAACACAGACTAAAGACAGCATCATTATGAGAGCAGAAGCTAAATTTGCTCTGAATATTGTGAGTAGTAGTGAAACCATTTTATCTTCATTAGCCTTGCAGTGTTCCCATTGCTCCTACAAAACTGAAATTACTATTACATTAAGCAAACTGGCCTGTCAATTAGACAGTGTGCTACTGTTCAGTTGAGAGTCATGTTATCTAGACTGGAGTTAGAGTTTAGATTGCAAACCTTATAACTCAGTTTCTTTTATAGTCATTCTCCTAAGTGAGAACGCACTCCATGAGCAAATCTTATGTAGGGTAACATTAGATGTGGAAAACAGATAAGACAAGAAATTCTGCACATTGATTGCCTCTTATTCAGTCTTCTTCGGGTGTGATAGGAAGAGGCTGGCTTAGGTTGTAGAAGTACCCACTGGACTCATATAATCATTCTGTTGTCTGGAAGGGGTCTTCAGTCTGGCTTTCCCAAAGCTGTGACCCCAGGTCATGCAAGTCATCAATTCCCCCAGCATATATATATATATATATATATAATTTTTTTTTTTAATGGCTTTTTAAATTAATGATTTAGGGTAAGTTTGTGGAGGTCAGGCTAGCAGTCTCCGAGTTTAAGCTGTGATCTGGGTTGACAGAGCAGGACGTTCATTTGTAGTTGCTGTAGGAGTAACAGCACTGGTGGGCCATTCTCAGCATTTAGCACTGGAGGGCCATTCTCAGCATTTAGCTACCAATTCTTTGGTGGTCTAGGACCCAGCTGGCCTCAACTCCTCTGACAGGGGGTCCCTGACAACTGAGAAGTGAAGTATCTCCTGAGATACCATGATGATACCAGGACAGATGCCTCCAGCCAATGCCCGGGTCAAGACAGGAGAGCAGCCACCTGAAGTGCTGTTTGTGAAAGGGGTTTAGGTATCAGCATGGTATGTAGTTCGTCCAGAGGGAAGGGAAACTTGAAGAGTTGGTACAGTGAGCACAGATAATATCTGTGGCCATATCTGTGTAAAATCATGCTTTTATATGTTGGGCTGATGAGAATCTTTTGTATCTGAAAGGGATTGAGGAAACAAAGTACATGTTTTTTATTTTGCTACATATCTTGGTGTTCTAAATTTACGTCTCAATTCTTACTCTTATATCAATTTAATTTGACACAGTATTTTCAATCTGGTTAGCTCATTTCCAAGGAAGTCTGCTCAGTTAATTTCAGCTAGCACATTTCACCTACCAGCAGTACACAA